GATTTCAGCAGGAGTAGTTTATAAAAGTATAATTCGGTTATCCATAGTAATGATGGTGATGCCGACTCTATGATTATCAAGAAACTGTAAGTGCTCAGTAGAAAACATACCGTTTTTAGGACAAAAATTATTGTTGTCCTTATACTTTGCTATTCTGGTAAAACTGTAGTAACTAATAGTTGCAGCGGATGATTAACACATATTAGCCGAGACAAACAGGTGAGGGATTAGAAAAAATGACGGCTGATAAAAGGCTTCTTCCTCCGTAGGTGTTGGGAAAGGACATCAGAAAACGGGGAATACTTAGCCTTTTTATGAAGAGATATAACACGAACACTGCTCGTTCTGTTTTTCGATGTGTTCTACAATATCTGCTGGTGCGATCAATGCCCCTAGGAGACGCGCAAATCCTTCGGAGATTATTACAACCCATCATAAGAAATATGTAGTCTCCGACTTACTTTGATTAGCTTGAACTGCCACTGTTCCACCACCACGTTTTGGTAGATACACAGGTATCAAGGCTAAAACAATAGTTGCTGCTAATAGCAAACCCAATATCCCGAGACAGCATAAAGCAATTAATGGAACTGCGGAAAACCATCTACGATTTTTTCTAGAAGAAATTGCAATCTTAATTACTTATGTCCTACTTGTGCTAACGAGTTACATACATTGCAGTTGATGATGTCAGCGCCACAGGTACTGCATTAGCTGGTGGGTTCTGATGATACATTTTCCAGTCTTATGTTTGTATTTATATAGTTTTCCTGAAAGTTGATTATTTATAGCTGATAAGAAATTACTATTAAAAGAGTTGACATACCTTTGCTTTCTGCTGGCTAACCGAATTATACTTTTATAAACTACTCCTGCTGAAATCGGATATACTCGCAGCTTTTATTAGAATCGGAGAGAGTGAATTATAGAGCACCTGTCATGCGTATTATCGTTTTTTTCTCGACCTTTGTAGATGAGTATTGCTGCTTCGTAGTGGTTATGCCGTCAAAATTGTTACCGCTTGAATTGTTTCAAGCGTTTTCTATATTTTGATATATTTATTCACAGAAACGAAAAAAGAAAAGTGAGTAACGATAGAGAGTAAACAAGATATTACTGCCATAGCAAATAGATAACGTTAACATTACTTATTTGCTACTGCTCTATTTCTTTCCTACATAAAACAAGGGAACGAAAAAGAAAGATACGACGTTGAATAAAAAAAAATGTGTCAAAAAAACAACAAGTTATGTATCCATTTACTTTCAAGGTTATCCGAGGGATATCTGATTATTAACTGATGAGAAAAATAATATTATTTGTGTTATACCTACCTGACTTCGAACTGTGGTTGAAGAGAAAGAGTGACTGCGCTTAAGATCTTCCTATTATCACCATTTGCCTTTCAACAAACATGGTAGGATTGTAGTCAGTAAGGACGGCTTGACATTTAGCGGCAGCTTTCTTTAGATCTGTCAAAAGCTGCCGTATTTTAGTTGATCTAACGTTCAATGCAAAAGTTAGATCTAAAAAAGCTTTTATAGTTTATACCAAGATAATACAAAATTTCCTGTCGCTTTTCTTCCAGATGAACAGCATTAGGATAAATATAAGTATGTAAGTCGAGGACACATAAGTATGATTATTCTTCATTGACTTTAACTGATAATGAAATATTTGTAACAATTCCCTCCAGAAGGCATGTCAATTCATCTTAACCCTTTACCTACCCCGGGATCACCCATGACCCATTCGTAGAATTGTTATAAAAAGATAATGAAGCATGTGAGAAAAAATGGATTGCTTTTGAGAGCAAGATAATTTCATAAGCTATCGATTGATAAAAAACGATTTTCTTTTCCATCAACTTTTCGTGAAGATATTTCAATCAGAAAATAAAAAATTTTCAAAAAAATTGAAAAGTTGAAAAAAACATTTTCTGGGCTTTTATTTTTTTTTCAAGAACTTTTCAGAAACATGTTATTGTCGATTAATGTTTAGTAGACTGTTGCCTTTGCAAGCAAATAGAACTGGCTGTTCTTATGACGTACGAATTTTCTGAGAAGTGCTTACAAGCAAATGGGTCATCCATGACCCATTGGTCGCGAACGATATGAAAATGTAATATATTTAAAAGCGCCAAATAAAAGATTGTCAAAAACAAAAATAAGTAATTTCATCTTGGTAAACAAAATGTGAATTGGGAAAATTCACGATTGTGTGAATTTAAAACAGAAATAGCTCGTACTTTATTAAAAGGATCAGTAGCTTTACAACGACCAGCATTAGTACCTATACAAAAG